TTTTTTAACGAGATGGGAAGTGACAAATTTGATATGATAGATAGATAGATAGATAGATAGATAGATAGATAGATAGATAGATAGATAATCTGTGTGTGTGTGTGTGTGTGTGTGTCTCCATGTGAGTCCTGTAGAACATAGTCCCCAGAGGTCAGACTGGCTCAAACCCTGAAGACAGGGTTGAGGGTCAGAGTGTCTGTTGGAGCCTATGAATTAATTTTATTGAAATATGGGCATTGTATTTGTATTGATGGTAGTGTTTTTTGTTGTTTTTATCTCAGCTGTTGATTGTCTATTTATTTTATTTTTTTTGGTGTTTGCTGGTTTCTTATTGTTGTTAGCTGCCCAGAGTCACTTGTTTGAGATGGGCGATCATATAAATTGAATACATAAACATATAAATAAGAAGTCTTTTATAAAACAAAATAGCTTTTTATGTTACTCTTATTACAATACTTAAATAGCCAGTGCCAATTAACTATTTTCTATGAATAATCTTAAGCATCTCAAGCCTTGCTCAAATGGCCAGAACATGTAATAGTGTTCTATTTTGCATTCACCAATGAAGACTTGAATGTTACTCAGCTCTTGACTAATTTGCCAGAGTGTTCTCATTCTCCCATACAGGTAGTCCTTGCATTTATGACCTTCGCAGGTCTGTAAAGCAAAGGAAAGCTGAAGTAAGATCATAAGCATAGCTGCAATTTCACTTAGTGACCATTTCACTTAATGACCAAGTTGCTGGTTCCAATTGTGGTCACTAAATGAGGCCTACCTATAGTCCCCCTTCATTTTCATACAACACAAGGATGTCAGATGTCTGCACAAAAACCTGCTTCAGAGGCTCCTCTGTAGGAGGGAGTATAAAAATCAAATATTATTTAATGGATTTTTAAAATTTTAAATTAAATTCAGAATTGAAAACAAGTGTTTCATAAAAACTGAATCTAGCTGGAATATATTAACATGAACACAACTCATTATAGTCTATCCTGTTTGCTAATGCTAATACCTGAATGTGATATAAGTTAACAGACCATAGCAGATCTCTCTCAGAAAAGTACAAAGACAAACATGGTCAGTGAATAGGAAATTTGAGAGATAGGTAAGCAAGGGACATTTGGTTAAAAGTTCAAGGGATATAAATAAGGAATGGAATTAAGAAGTGAAACAAAGTAGGGACATGTTTTTGCCATATAAGGGTTTGAGAAATATGTTTCTGATCCACCTGAAATGTATAAAGCAAAGCTAATTGGAACAGCAGGTTGTATAAATCCAGAATCCATTATGGTAAAATAAATAAAATCAGTAAAAGAGACCCCATATAAGAATAATTTAATATAATTTGACTTCCTGTAATTGTAAATATGAAAGGCAATCATAAAAATACAAATAGCACAAGAAGTTGCTAAAGGGAGCATGGGTACCAACATAATTGTTTCATATTTTTAATGAAATTAAATGAAATCTACATCTCTCTATCAAAGGATACGTATACTACAAGTATACACTTTTGCTGGAAATGATAATAGGATCTTTGGAAGTAAAGAAAAAATGTGATTTCAATAATTACATTTGAATCTTCCTGTCCAATCAGAATTTAAAACTATTTGATTTAAATCAAGTCTACCTAGTCTGCAGGTACCCCTAATCTAGGAATTAAGGTGGATGAACCAGGAAGACAGCTTGTTCAGTTGAAGGGTCTCACTAATGGAATTCCCCCTGCACCCTATTTTGGTATTATGTTTGCAGCAAACCCTCTTATTCATATCCAGGTTTTAAACGTTTTCAACTTCTGAAGTTTTTCTTTCAGCTTTTTAAGCTACAGCACAAACTGATATTATTTTATCATTATTTCATAATATTTTTAGCTCTTTAATGATCAGCTTCGCCAAATGGCTGACAGATCAATCAGATGTTGATTGAACATGTAAAAGAAGAAATTATGACAGCTCCATTTTGTTGCTTTTCTACTCATAGAGCAGTTGGTTCTATGAAGGGAGGGCCCCAATCCCTAGCAATGAAATAGTAACAGGTAAGGATGACAGAGGAATGGATCCCCTCAATCCCTGTAAAAAATAAAGGGCAAGGTATACAGAAATAAAGGGAAGGTATGGAACTATCATTCTAAAGCTCTGCTCTTGCAGCATTTCAGCTGTTTTATCTCAAACATTATTTACCCCTTGCCTGTTCCACAGAAAAAGATCAACACCTCTTTGAGAGGGCAATGCCAACCGCATTGAAAGAAGTCTGCCTCCTCAACAGACCAGCTCTGGATCCACTTCTATCTGACAACTACGTTCTATCCCCAACTTCTAATTTTTGGGCAAGATTTTTGAGAAAGTGGTGGTGCAATAGTAGCAAAGAGTCCTGAAGGATTGCCATTATTTGGACCCATGGAAGGTCCAAATTCAGGCCTGAACACAGGGTGAAATCACACTGGTCACTCTCATGGATAGCTTGGTGGGGTTTGGATGGAGGGAATGTGACCATCCTCACTGTGCTAGATCTCCTGGTGTCCTTCAATACTTGGGGCAGGGGGGGTGTCACCTTTTACACCACATTCTTATATTCTAAATAAGGCAAAACTTGCTTTTTCATAGTATCATTGGTCACTAAATATACAATTTTGTTTCTAACTAATATAATTGGTTAGTAAATATATAAATACAAGATACAGCTGCTTTCCTGTGTGTGTGTTCTTGTATATGTCTCATTTCCTTATTTCTTCATCCTTATGAATATATCGTTTTCTTATATGCTGAGATATGAATAAACAAAAGTGTATTTATATCTGCTACACCAGTGGTTTTGAGATTGTGATATCTGCTGAGCCAGTGGTTAAGGAAATCATTTCAATAAGCATAAATCAAACATAAAACTGAAAAACCTCTCAGGCCCTTGGGCCCTCTAATTTTCAAACATAGTATCTTTCTGGGCTGCCTGCAAGGGTTGGGAACTGTAGGCACCATTTTACAGTGGTTTCACTTCTATCAGAGTGGATGGGTCCAGTCAGAGGTAGTAGAGAAAAAAAGGTCCAGACCTCAGGAATTCCAATATAGAGTGCCCCATGGCTTGGTCTTCTCTCCAATCCTGGTTAATCTACATGAAGCCACTGGGAGAGATCAGTCACCAGTTTGGGATAAAGTATCATCAATCATCAGACCAAAAAGGGAAGTAGAAGTCTAAAAGCTGTCAAGGCCTGAATGGGCAGAAACAGGCTTACTCATCCCAAGCAAGCAGGACTAGCTGTTAATTCAGAAGTGTACTAATTCCAGGATAATGCCAACTGTGACATTCAGTAGGGTTGTGCTTGCTGAAGGTTCTCTTTGACTCAGTTCCTGCTGAAAGAGGAAGTGGAACCTGGGGGAGGGGGGGCTACCTAGTTTTCTAGCTGGTGTGCCAGTTGTGATCTTCCCTGAAATAAGTTGCCATGAGGATGGTCAGTCATGCCCTTATCATCTTGCAACTAGATAACGTAATTTGATCTATATGAGACTGCTCTTGAAGACGACTGACAGTCTTAGTTGGTCCAAAATGCTTTTTTTAAATGAATTTTTATTTTAAAAAAATTTAATAGAATAAAACAATACAAATTTAGAGAAGAAAAAGAAAAGTGAAGAAAAGTGATAAGTAAATAAGAAAGAAATAAAATAGAAAAGACAGAATAGACAGAAAAAGACATTAAAAAAAAAGATATAAAGAAGCTGCTTCCAATCTTCTTTACAGCAGTTATAAATGCACTTATATTTTATCCTCTGTCTCTAAAATTATATCCCATATTCTACCCTTTCTAATCATCAAACCCATGAAACACAAATTCATTTTTTTCCATTTTCAGCAAAAACTCCATAAAAGGTTTCCAATCACTGACATTAGTTGGTCCAAAATGCTGTGGTTCACATGCTTATGATGTAGTCCTGGTAATGCCATATTATACCTCAGCTACAGGAGCTGCATTGGCACCAGTTTCAATGCATTTCAATGTGTTGGTCACTTCCCATAAAGCCCGATATGGTTTGAAGCCTACAAATTCAAGAGACTGCCTTTCCCAGGTAGATTCTGTAGCTTAAATCAGATGATCAGGAAACTCCTGCTGAAGACCCCCTCCTATTGGGAGGTGCAAAGAGAGGGGGCTCATTGGTGTTTTCAGTTTGTTCCCTGAAGGGAGGTTGGCTGCTACCCTTACAGCCTTCTGAAGAAAAGTAAAGAATAGTTCTTTCAGAACACCTCGAGAGGTTGCTCGTATATGGCCATCAGTGGTGAAATGGTTAGTTTTTATTGCTATTGTTATATCATCATGATATTATATATGCTATTTTGTTATTCTGTTTTATATTTTGTATTCCATCCAGAGTTCTTCAGGATTGGAGAAGTTAATCAATCTAATAAATAAATAAATTGTGGTCCATTCTGAAACTGGAATGTGTCTACGAAGGGGAATGTGATGGACTACAGTAATGCAGCAGGTTCTCAGGAAGGAGGGAGCACATTTCTAGGAAGGGAAGCAAAACAAAAGACAACACAGTCTGGAGCTGGATCATGGGAAGAGGAAGAGATTTAAGATAGCTACTCCCTAGAATCTCGCAGGGTATATTCACTAGGTTAGAGTAATACAGATTTAGTCTGGCAAGATTCTATGTATATTGTGTAAGTTATAAAAGAACTGAACTTGGCTGGACTGTTTCTCTGTCGTTCTTGGGCTGGGCCTGACAGAAACTTAATATAGTATATTAATTATATTAATACAGTATATTAATTTTATTAATTTGTATAAAATAGTATATT